AAAGCTTTTGACAAAGTTAATCATGAACTATTGATCCACAAACTCTGTTTATATGGTGTTGATGGGCAAATATTGCTGGGCTCAAGAGCTATCTTGAGGTTTTTTTTTATTCTCATGTTCGAATATCTTATGAATTATAGTTGATGAGACTATATCACTCATACAAATTTTTATCCGACCTATATTTATCAATAATTTCAGCTTATAAATTTATCTTTTCTACTGAGGCAGATATCGCGTAGTGAACATCGTGAATAACTGCTCTAGCGAATTTGTCGTTTATTGATAGACTTACGAGTAATTACTTCCTTATAATTCATATCAATCGACTCAAAAAAATATTCTGCACAAGATATGGATATATGATCTTAACTATCTGCAGTCGTTTTACTTGAATTTTTGAAAATCAACGAGATATTCATATTTCATTCTGTTTTTCTCATTGCAAAAAGCTGGTAAATAAATACCTAGTATTTTGAAGATAACAGCTATTAGTACGTGGACCACAGATTTATACTATGGACATGGAAAATATTTCGAAAGAGGATATTTATAAAATGTTTCAAAAGTTATCGGATCAAAACGAAAGTTTGAAGGCTCAGATTAAATTAATGAATGAAGAATTGCGTGTGTTTAAAAAAACGATACAAAATAACCTAGACGAAGTGGTGAAACAAAACGAACAGCTCAAAGCTGAAAATAGCATATTGAAAGGGCGTATATTATTAGTAGAAAAAAGGGTAAAAAATATAATTTAATTATCTACAATTTGGCTGGTGAAGACATAAACAAATCGGTAATTAATCTTATTTGAAAAAAGCTTTCCATTGATTTTGGAGAGAAGGATCTAAAGGATGCTTTTAGATTAAACACTGGTGGCAAACTGAATAAACCACATCCCATCCTCATTGAGTGTAGCAACATTAAAGTAAGAAAAGCTATTCTTACCCAGGCCAAAAATCGAAAGGGTACAGGAATATTCATATCGCCCGATTATCCTGCGGAAGAATATCAGAAAAAGAAACGCCTCTATCATTATCAAAATACTATCAGGCAGCAAGGAAAAGTAGCAACTATCAAAGGTTATTCCCTTATAATAGACGGTGAAAGCTTCAGCCTTGACAACCTGGAAATACAACCCTTTATGAATTTTCCGACGGACCATCATTCGAGTAAATCAACGCTGCATAGAAGTGACAGCGTTTCCTCCATTGCAAGCAGTTAATCTCAAAAGAGGCAGCTTGAACAAGACGATCCCACCATTACTGTACCTGCTAAGAAAAATCTTCGTAATAGGCAGCTATAGACCTTTAGTTAAATTTTTTCATCCTATTAATGTTATTTGGATTGTTTAATCAATTCTGAGTGTAATATACATANTAAAAAAATAAAGTTGCTAGGACTTTTTGATGGAAGTGGCAACGCCGCAATGCTGAAAATATTTTAGATCGATAAAACAGGTAAGGAAATGTGAGAGGTGAAATTTTCAGAAAAATCATGCTTTGCGTTTTTCAGAAACGTCTAACCTACCATCGACCGTGAGTCACGCTGTATACCAAATAGATCCATACACCGGGACCTGGACCCCTGAACATCCACTACGTGGACGCGTATATAAGAGAACACGCAGAAAACATGTTCGAAAGAGTTTGATCACACACTAGTCCAGAGCTGAGCATGAAGCGCTTAGCAAGGAAGACCCAAGATTTCGAGAAAGAGACAAACACAAGAGCCCAACGAAGCACAACCAGAGAACACCCCCCGAGAGTCGCTATCAGGTGGCTCCGGTAATTATAAAAATTGTATAAACCTAACATTCACTTCTTTTTCAGTTACACAAACGAGCACTACACCAATTTCAGCTTAATTTCATAACTGATCCTGAGACTTGCCGATTCCTCGACTGAATGGACTGCTGAATGGAAGGCAGCTGCAAATCTCTGCGAGTAGCTTCATTCTGTACGAACCAAGGAGGATTCACCATCATCCGTATCAACTTGTTTTGCAATCTCTCCATAATGGAGATATTAGACGGAGCTGCTTGTCCCCAGACGTCTGAAGCATACATGAGGACAGGCTTGAACATCGTTTTATAGATTGTAATTTTGTTCTTAAGGCTTAGTTTGGATCGTCTATTGACCAGAGTGTACAGACTTTTGATCTGAACCTCGATCTTTGCCTTCACGGTTATGATGTGCGGGTTCCAGGTGAGCCTACGGTCTATTCGAAGACTGAGGTACTTCACCCGCGCTTGCCAGTAGATCTCCCTTCCAGAGATCCTCACTTTTCCGGCCGGAGAAGATATCGTTCTTTCCACTAGTTCGCGACCAAAAGACACTTGTCTCCGGTTAGTTTAAAGGGTTCCCATGTAAAAATTACATTCAGTAAAGTCACGTTAAATAAAAATAACACATGAAGAAAGTACAAGCACCTAAAGGCTGACTTTCGACCGCAGTAGGTCAGAAGTCAATCTTGCTGAAGTGCCCATCAGCAGGTTGAGGTCTACTCTGCAATGAGTGGGGGTGGATGGATGAGATCCTAGCTTCTGCACACAGTAACCATGTGGTAAGGATTCCCAGGGCACTCCACCCAAGGGGTTGGGCATGGGGGGGGGGATTGAATCAGTCCATAATCTGTCCTTCTAAGCAACACGGTGCTCCAAAACATTTTTCATGCATAGTGCACGTGATCTACCAGACAAGGCTGCTTGTCAGGAACGACCAAAATTTAAATGTTTTATTTTTTTCATAATATGCGGCTGTGTATGGGAATTTTTTTAGGCAGAGTATCGGGACACAATAAGCAGTTCAGTACTTGAAATTTTAAAAGTTTTGAACTTTAAAATACCATATACATATATACAATATGTGTGTGTGGAAATTTGATATGAAAAAAAAAAGGTTAGGTTGAACATCTATATAGATTTTTTTCTTCAAAAAGCTAAAGTTATCAATCGCAGTTGAACATTTTTTGCGGTGAAAATTAAATGTATTTTTCAGAAAACTGTAGGACTAAATTTTGAAAAAATCTTCAGTTTATCGTAGGATCCAAAAAGAGAGAGAGAGAATATACTTTATTGTCATAAGATTGATCTTGTGGACAAAGTTTCACTTAATCTATAATGCAATTATATGTAACAACAAAGTGCATTTATTTTCACTCATACATAAAATCAGTTTGTATATATATATATATATATATATATATATATATATATATATATATATATATATATATATATATATA